CCAGCAGTAAAGGTTGCGATGAAGTAGCAGCTGTGATCATAACTATCTTACAATCTAAAGTAAATTGAGAATTTTCTGTCCTATACAGGCAGTTGAGAAGTTATCAAGAAGTAATTGTTCATCTTTGAGGAACTGGCCATCTTTTCTTTGATCAGTTACCATGGCTAACTCAGAAGGCAGATGAGTGGGACAGCGTGATAAACCTTCCATTTACTTTGATATGATCTCAAATGTCCACTTAAAGCCTCCATCAAGGTCAGAGCCCCGGGCTGCAAATTAGTCTTCCCCACACAGCCCAATTTTAGAAGCCAGCATAGCCGCGGCCATGGCTATGTCATCCAGAGGCCTGGACAATAGTCCAGAGTTTCTATGTCTCTAGAAGCAGGTGTGAAACAGTCTCTCTCCCTCCCAAACAGGGAAGTGAGTAGAGGCGGAGAGGTAGAGAGACATTAACCAGATGGTCACAAGGATTTTTCCAAAGTTTTACCATGGGCTGTACTATTTTTACAATCATTTAAAAAGCACAATAACTTACAAAAATGCATTTGAGGAACTGGGAAGAGCTGGCTTGGAGCCCAGGGAGAGGGAGATAAGCCTGAGATGTGATGAGGACCCAGAATCCAGGGGACTTTTGGGCCATGGTAAGGATTCAGGACTTGATCCTGTGGTCCCTGAGAAGCTGTGGGAGTTTCAAGCAGGGACCTTCCTGATCACATTTCCTTTTAGAAGAGGAGGCTCCGGCGGCTGTGCTGGGAACAGTCAGAGGTAGGGACTGGAAGGGACCTGACAAGTGGGCAGTCACCAGAGGAAGATGATGATCCTGGCTGAGACTTTGGTGCTGATAATGGCGGGGAGGGGGAAGGCTAGATGTATTTAAGGAACAAATACCATTGTCTGGGCACAAAGGAGTCGGGAAGGGTGGCCACCAGGCATTTCTTTGCACAGCTGAGTGGGGACAGGGTTGGGGGGGCAGCGCCTCCCCCAGATAGGGAACAGGAACAGGGTGGGAGAGATAGAGAAACTGAGGGTGGCTGTCATAAGGTGATACCAGGTCATGTATACGGAGAATGGTTTTTTCAGGCTTTGTGGAAGGAATTTGTTTTCCTGGGGCTGAGTGCTAGTCTGACATCCTGCTTTGTGTTTTGAGCCCTTGGAATCCCACCTGCCTGCCACACCGCCCTCACTGGACCATCCCCATGACTTTACCAGGAGCCACTAGCTCCTCTGAGGGCCAGAAAAGTGCCAGACATCCACCTCTGCCCCAGCAGTTGCCTCCTGAGCCAAAAATGGGGAAGTGGAGAAGAGGCTCAAAACTGTGCTCCCCAAACCACCTGCAGGTTCCCCAGAGCTGGCCAAGGTGGTGAAAGAGATGGCAGGAACCGAACAGCATGGTTTGGAGTCCAAAGGAAGATTAGAGCCATCAACATGGAATCTGTGCAGGAGGAACCTGGCAGCTCCTCAGGGAGCAGGCGCAGGGAAATCTCTTCCCGGGAAACAATGACACTTGCTTCTTAAAGATGGGGCTGTTTCCCAAGGTCTCCAGGCAGGACACTTCAGAGCTAGGGGACTTCAGTCCATGACAGCGGGCAGGCAGTACTTGCCCAAAGAGAGGGGTGTTCCCCCCATGCTGATTGCAGTGAGGGAAAGCAGGGTTATTCTCAGGGTGGGCCCTGAAACTGGGCCTAGAGCCCAGCAGAAAAGGGCAGGAGGGAGCTGGGACGGGGCAGAACCAGGTGTCCCTCCCTCTTGTGTTCCTTGGCATAGGGCACCAGTATGGGAAGGAACACAGGGACATAGCTGCCAGGTGGCATTACGCCCTGTGTCCCAGAAACAAGGCCGCCCCTAGAAGTGAAGACAGAGGCTCAAGGAGGACAGGGCAGCAGCTGTGGCGCTCTGAGCTCCTCCTGTTCAGACCAGGGCTAGTCCCAGAGATAGGGATGGACCTGAGCTGCCCAGTGTGGGGTGAGGAAGACCAGAGCCCAAAGTGCAGGTGGGCCATACTGAGAAGGCTGTTCTGTGAGGCTGCAGACTGTGCTCCAGGTGAGAACTCAGGGCCTGACAGACTCCACGGAGGGGCTGGACAGACAGGTCTTGCAAATGTGGTTGGAAGCATATAGCTGCCTCTGGTGGAGGCATTCTAGGGCTGGAGGTGCCTTTGGAGGAGCCTAGAGAGGTGGATGTGGAGTGGGAAGTCTGGCAGGGGCCCTGCCCAGCCATGGGGAGCCTGTGGCTTGGCCCTGGCCAGGAGGCTGGAGGAGAAGAAAGAAGGAAGCTCAGGCCCACGGGCCCCTGCCCTGTCCTGAGGACTCCACCCCACTTTCACTGGCAGGAGCCTATCCGGGACTCATGGAGCACTCACGCTCTGTCCCTAGTGTCAAACACATCTTCTCTCAGGTCTCCGTGAGACTCTGCTTCTCCCTTAATGTGTGGTTTGGGCCGGATCTCTAGAATGCTATCTTTTTGTTGCATAATTTGACTCCTTCAAATTGATGGTTTCTTGGGTATGACAGAGGAAGTGGTGAGCGTGTGTCTTGGGTGATTAGTAAGGGCGTGGGGGAGCTGGCTGGACACATGGGGCCATTCACACCTGGTGGCCTCTCAGGTAGAGCAGGGAGCTGCTGTGACCTGGTGGGGAGGCCAGTGAGGAAGGCTGGTGGATCTGGACTGTGAGGTCTTCAGCCCTGGGATCCAAGGCCTTTGGGGTCTCCCTAGTCTCAGCTGCCCCAGGCATTCAACCCCAGCACCACCCTGTCCTTCCAGCCCAGCTGATGGGGCAGGCTTTCCCGAGGGCTCTAGAAATTCTCTTTGTCACCTGCCTCTTTTCACAGGGCTACTCCCTTTGCAGGCTCAGGGATTCCTGCTCCCCCAACTGAGGCAGGATGTCTCACAGCAGCCACAAGTGTGTTCTGTAGTCTTAGGATTTTTTTTCTCCACCAATTACAAGGGAAAACTAGATAAGGGGGTAAGTCTGGTTGACTGAGAGAAGACACAAGTTTCCAGAACTCTATCCCTTGCCTTTATGGTGCCCGGAATAGCCAGCGGCACTGAGTAAGGCTCCTGCTATATGATGGACTCAGAGGACACTGCCTGTCCTTCCCTTTCTGGGAGGATGGACCCCCAGCCCCAATGCTGCCTATGAGTGGTCCCTGAGGGGGCCTTTACCTCCCACTGATACCAAATTATTAGTGGAAGAAAGATCAGCCGTCTGGTGGCCCTGGGCCAGCTGCAAGTGGCCATTACTGCCTCTAAGAGGCCATCAGAACCAGGCCTAGCATGTTGACTTGTTGGCTTCTCCCTGTCCCTTCCAGAAGCCCAGGTTCTCAGGGCATCCCTCAGGACCCAGGACTTCCTTTGAGCCGTGATTGGACCCCCATGGGATCCCTCAGCCTTTCCACACCCTTCCCTGTATCCGAGGGACTGAATTCCTGGTCTGGCAACATCACCACCTGTCTTGGTCTCTCCCCTGTTCTCTTCATTCCTCTGTGGGTTGACTTGTGACTCCCTATAATCCATATGTTGAAGCCCTAAGACCCAGTACCGCAGAATGTGACCTAATTTGAAGATAGGGCCTTTATAGAGGCTATCCCATAGAGTATCCTCTTAAAAAGAAGAAATTTGGAGACAGATACACAGAGAGCACCATGTCAACTTGAATGTGGCCGTGTACAAGCCCAGAAGGGAGTCCTGAACCACAGCCCCTCCATAGCCCTGCTGATCTCCGATCTCAGACTTCCAGCCTCCAGGACCAGGGTGATGTACTCTTGTTCACAGCACAGCTCACAGTGCTTCATTCAGGCAGCCTCAGCACACACACACCACTCTCTTGCTCCCACTCAAGCCCACCCTCCCCGAGTGCCTGCCTCCCTCTCCACTAGAGGAGCTCATCTCCCCCATTCCTGCCCTCTACAAGCCCCAGCTCATTCACAGCTCATTCTGTGCTTCCAGAATCTACCAAGGTCCAATCCACACCACGGCAATCCTGATGACTTCAGCGCCTTCCCTTTCTCTCCTCCCTCAGGCTGTCATGTCCTGCAGAGCCATTTCCTCTCCATACCACCACCAGCCCTCGGTGAAGCACGCAGGCCCTGGGGTCAGCCTGCCTAGCTGGCTTTTGACCCTGACACTGACAGCTGTGTGTCCTGGGCAAACCCTTTAACCTGTCTGGGTATCAATGTCTTTGTCTATGAAATGGAGCTAACACTAGTATCTCTTTCACAGGGTTGTTTTGAGGAATAGTTAAGAAAATACAAATAAAGAATTTGTGGCGCATGATAAATTTATAATAAATGCCATTATTATTATTATTTCCTAGAAATAAGAGCAGTCTGGCAGTAGGACTTTGAGAACCAAAAGAGGGAGAGGGCGGCGCCTGTGGCTCAAAGGGGTAAGGTGCTGGCCTCATATGCTGGAGGTGGCGGGTTCAAACCCAGCCCTGGCCAAACACTGCAAAAAAAAAAAAAAAAGGGAAGGGGAGCAGAATGAGAGAGAACCACCCAGGGGAGCGTTTACTTGGTTACTTCCTACACTAGAAGTAGAATGAGGTGTGGAATGCAGGCCTAAGTCTCAGAAAGTGACAATGCAATCAACATTATTACAGGCAGCTCCCAGATTACAAACGAAATAGGTTCTCACAGGTTTGTTCTTAGGTTGAGTTTGTATGTAAGTTAGCACAGGTACATTTACCTACGACTTGTAATAACCCCTGTTTGTCAGCTTGAGTCTCACCTCAGTTGGAAGTTTGTAAGGAAGTTGGTAACTTGGGGACTGCCTTTATGTTCATTATAGCAGTCACGGTCCAATCCAGAGAAAAAAAATCACCCCAGTTATTTGACCAGAGAGAATTTAAGATAAAGACTTGTTAATTAGGTACAAAGTTGTTAGATAACTGGAAGTTTGGGGCTGGGAAGAGAGAACTTCAAGATATCATGGAGGTAATGACTGCAAGCCGTAGCTTCCATCTCTAGGCCAGAGGGAACAAATGGAAGAGAATGGAATTGTAACGCTGCTTCGGCAGCGCATACGCTAAACTTAGAACAATACAGAGGAGATTAGTGTGGCCCCTGTGCAAGGGTGACACACAGATTCGTGAAGTGTTCCAGACTTTTTTTTGGAAACAGAGTCTCACTCTGTTGCCCTCGGTAGCGTGCCATGGTGTTATTCACAGCAACCTCCAGCTCTTGGGCTTAGGCGACTCTCCTCCCTCAGCCTCCTGAGTACCTGGGACTACAGGCGCCTGCCACAATGCCCGGCTATTTTTTTGTTGCAGTTTGGCCAGGGCCCTACTCACTGAGCCACAGGCGCTGCCCATATATTTTTAACTGTGGTGTAAGTATACCGTGGAATATTACTCAGCCATAAAAAAGATGGAGACTTTACAACTTTTGTATTAGCCTGGATGGAGTTGGAGAACATTCACTGTTAGTACAGTATCGCAAGAATGGGAAAGCAGGCATCCAATGTACTCAATACTAATAGGAAGTCAGTGGATGATCTAATACCCACATAAGAGAAAAACTCAATTGAATTCAAGTTGGGGGGAGGGGAGAGGGGAAGAGGGAGGGGGAGGAGGAAGGGAGAGAAGGAGGAAGGGAGAGTAGGAGGGGAATTGATGAGGTCTCACCTAACAGGCACACAGTAAGAGTATATGGCTATATGGCACACCTCCTTGGTGAGGGGCACAACTACAACAGGGACCTTATATAACAAATGAAAACATTGTAACCTAATTATATCCTTGTATTAATCTGAAATTTTAAAAAACCTTAGAAGCTGAGAGGGGGCAGCTCAGACCTTGGAGGAGGGGCCGCTGCTCAGCCGACACTGGTGTCTGGGGTGGGGGCTAGAGAGGAAAGGGCATCACTCACTGAAGTTAGTTCTGCCAGTGACAGAAACACTGCTGAAGGGGTTGAACTGTGGCCATAGGGAAGAACTGCCGGGCTGGGGAAGTAGCCTTCCTGAGTTGGGGCTCCCTGGGGCGGCCAGGAGGCAAAGGGGTAAGTCCTACCTCCCTGCAGGGGCTCCCTGGGGTGGCCAGGAGGCAGAAGGGGCAAGTCCTACCTCCCTGCAGGCCCTCAGCTTCCCTCTAGCACCCCCACTAGCAGAGTGCAAAAGGGAACCAGCCCACACCACTGTGGCCAGGGAGTCCCCCTACCGCCCACTACAACGAAGCAAAGTACAGACAGCCGGGTTTGGCGCTGAGAGACAACAGCTTAATACGATAACTGGGTATTTATATGGGAAGAAAATAAGGAAATGGCCTGACGTTGGATTGGGAAAGGGCTGGTTACTGAATCAACAAACGAATTCCTGGGACTAAATTGATTAGGGAACTCCTGGGTTTTCTCTGTTTACGAGCACTTTAAGAGCCACTAACTGACAGCCTTCCAGAATTTAGAAAACAGGTTACCCCCTGAGAGCTAAAGGGCAGTCACACAGCTATTCCAAACCACCTTGGAGGAGACAGAAAACAACCACCTGAGGGCGAAAGTTTATGAAAATATATACTAGCTACAGAGTTGATATCCTTAACATCAAGGAAGGTGTTACTACCAAAGGAGGAAAATACGAACATTGTGATAAACAATAATCCATAAAGCCACACACACACACACACTGATCTTCAGAGGGCCTAGGCTCTAATAGCCCAGATCCTTAGGTTGTGAGATGTTGAGATCTGCAAGAGGGTTTTAAGGGCTCCATCTTCCAAGCAGAAAGGGCACATGCCCCAGGCCAAAATCACCAGATGTCCCCACTTGAGTTACTTGGGCCCACCTGTCAAGTGTCAAATTTACATTAAATGTCAGAGGGGTGAACAAGGCCATCCTGCCCTGTGAGAGAGCTGTTGATGAATTCTCCTAAGCAGCGCAAGAGGAAAAGAACAGAGCTTGTGTGAGTCCACTTCATAGCCAGGAGCATGTGTCTGGGGGAGTTTTCTTCCTCGAAGGAATTGTTATAGGGGGATGGTGGGAATAGAAAAGCGATGTCTGGGATTCTCTCCAGGTTCCAGCCAGCGTCCACTGTGCCCCTCTTCCCAGATGCCATGGTCACCATCTCAAATTGCTTGGAGTTTCTTGTTAAAGCTTCTTTTCAGCTTCTTTTTATTAAGTCTGCATGTATTGAGTGGGTGCTATGTGCCAGGCAGTATATTTCCTTATTTTCATAAAAACCCTAACCAAGCACATACTATTACTGCTCTCCCATCTTATAGATGGGAAAACTGAGTCTTTTACCCAAGTTATCCAAGCTAGAAGAGTTGGAGATAAAATCTGTGTTTTCAGTCCTGGGGTCCCACGGCCTCCCCTGCTTTCTTTCCTTCCCTTCCTCGCAGCCTCCAGTGGGTAGCTGTCTGCCTTTCTTTTTTAGCATAAACTGCCCCCTCTCTGTCCCCACCTCCACACCCAGCTCCTTTGCTCTCATTCCTCGCTGCCCCTAAAGATAAACCTCCACACCATGGCTACTGTAAGGGTTTACTGCACTTGTTTGCAGGGAAACAGAATAGTAACCAGAACTTCAGTGATGGAAAGTCCCAAAGTTTTCAGCCCGGGAAGAGAGCTCCAAGTCCCTTCCGATGACAGTGCTGGGTTTGAATTCCTACCTTGGCCTTTCTTCTCCCAGACAAGGCTCACCAAGCCCCAGCCTCATCCCACCCTGTCTTTCAGGAAAGCCCCCTTCCATCGTTGGCCAGCAAAGTAGGAAAACATGTTAGGTCACGTTCACAGATTGCCTATTGCTGTCTTGTTCAGTACAAACCTCTCCCTCTCAGAATTACCAACATCATTCAATCGTTTCAGAGAGGTGAAATGACAACCTTATTCCTTCCATGCCCTTCTGGGGCCAGGAGAGGGAAAATTGATTAGTATCACTTAATTGACAAAATCTGTACAAAGTGACCCATGGCAGGGAATTAATATTGATAATGAACCCACATAACGAAGTCAAAGTTCTGTAAACTATAGAATAAAAGTCTCCCGTGGATATCAATTTTTGAACTTTTAATCTATAAGTCTATGATATCTCTAATGCCATACTGGATCCACACACAGTAACATGTGTAACGCCTATGTGAGCCATAAAGCACAATATAACAAACAGCTGCGAGCAGCCCGCCCAACCAACCCCCAGGAGGAGAACAAATGACAGTACCGATTGTGTGTATCCCCCTGCGACTTCCTCCCCTGAGCATTCACTGCCTCCCTCCCAGAAGTAACCACTACCCTGAATTTTTTGTGTGCTGTTTGGTCATAGTTCTTGAATTTTGGAGAAACAAAATGAAGTGCTCTTTGGCGCTTCATTTTTTTAATTCAATTGTACTGCTCAGATCCATTCATCCTGTCATTGTGCTATCATCACGGTAGGCACCTACTGTTCTCTGAACAGGTGTTTGGCTTGTTTACGTTGTTGGGAGCTATTAAGGAGGGAGCTGCCGTAGGTGTTTCTGCTTCTCCTGGTCATAGGCAATGGTTTATTGCTGAGTCATAAAACATGGAAATGTTCAGCTTTACAAAATCATTGCAAATGGTTTTCCAAAGAGATTGAGCTAATTTGCCTCCTTCTTCTTCCTCCTGAGCATCTTTTTGTTTATTTGGTCTTTGTTTTTCTCCACTTTAGCAGAATACCTGCTCATAGTTTTGCCCAGGTTTTATATACTTGTCGGTATTTTTCTTGTTGATAGGTGAGACTTCTCTCTGTCTTCTGGATACGAATCTTTCCTTAGTTACAGGTCTCGAAATATCTTCTAGTGTTTGGTTTGTCTTTCCTCTTGCTGGCATCTTCTGATGAAGATGGTGTGTTGAGCTCAGGCAGTCAAACGTATCAAAACATTTATTTATTTTTGTTTGATTTAAGGAACCCTTCCCTATTCAAAGGTTAGGTAGATACTGTCCTAGATGTCTTCTCAAAGTACTGCTTTTACAATTTAATGCATCTATAGTAAATTATAAATGAGGGCACACGCCCCAGGCCCAAATCACCGGATAACCAGTCTTTGAGTTAGAGCTCCATCTTGTTTTGTGCTCTGTGTGGTTGAGCAATTGCCCATGACCCATTCTTTCATTCTGTTCCTTCTTTCCCTACTGTTGTGCAAAACTGTCTCTGTCATATACCAAACACCTCCTGTGCCTGAGATTTCTGGGCTCTCTATTCTTTCTATTGCTAAATTGTCAGGTCCCTGGGCCAATCCGCATAATACCTTGTTTTCATTTCCATTGCTTTAGCCTAAGTCTTGCTCTTTAGAGGACATCTCTCATCACTTTATTCTTCTGAAGGCGTACCTTGGTAATTTCAAGTGCTTTGCTCTTCTGTTTAAAGCTCATAATTTAATGAAATTCTAAATAAAAATAAGATTAAAAAAAGAAAATGGTTATTGAGATGTTTTTCTAATTGCATGAGACCCATGGATATCTATGGATCAGGTGGGAGAACTGACATCTATATGATATTAGTTTTCTATTCATGAAAATAGTTGTCTTTCCATTTATTTTGGTGTCCTTTAATCTTTCAGTTAGGTTTTATAATTTTATGCAGACAAGTCTTGCACACTTTCAGCTAGATTCTCAGGTACTTCAAAGATTTTATGGATATTGTAAATGGTATCTCTCTTGTTAACTTATTTACTTAATTAATTTTTTTTTTTTTTTGCAGTTTTTGGCCGGGGCTGGGTTTGAACCTGCCACTTCTGGCATATGGGGCCGGTACCCTACTCCTTTGAGCCTCAGGCACGGCCTCTATTTATTAATTTATTTCATTTAATTTTATCTATTTATCTATTTATTTATTTATTTTGGAGACAGAGTTTTACCCTGTCATCCTTGGTAGAGTGCCATGATGTCATAACTCACAGCAGCCTCAGACTCTTGGGCTCAAGCGATTCTCTTGCCTCAGCCTCCCAAATAACTGAGACTACAGGCACCTGCCACAATGCCTGGCTAATTTTTTAGAGATGGGGTTTTGCTCTAGCTCAGGCTGGTCTCAAACTCGTGAGCTCAAGGGACCCTCCTGAGTTGGCCTCCCAGAGTGCTAGGATTATAGGCATGAGCCACCATACCCAGCAACATCTCTTTTAAATATTCTTTCAAATTGTTTATTGCTGCCATATAAAAAAACAATT